TACTGATCTGAATGAAATTCGATTCCAGTAAACAGCGTTTTGCGATTCAAGTTAACCCAATGAACTCAGTAAAAAACCTCAACTGTGTGTTAAATTCCCCGATCCTCAACCTTTCATCATATATGTAATCTACTGTACATGCTGCCGGGGCCGTTGTTAATAGCAAAATTGGCAGATGCGGGACTCACTCGTCCCGTTCTATCTTGGAGTTCACTCTTGAGCCCCGCCAACAGCTAGTATGATAAGCAGATGAACATTACCGACAAAGACAATAGGGCCATTTCTGGCTTATCAGCCGTCATCAGCCAACCATACCCAACCCCAGAAGATGCACCACCTGAGGCTCGAAGCCACGGCCTATCGACTAGAATTCCAACGCTGCAATCATTGAGCCAGGGACTTCTTGTCCGCCAGTATCAGTACTCCCGAGCTAAACCGACAAAACAATGAGCCCATTGCTCTATGGGTTAGAATGTTGAACTTCTAATCAACAGGTCATAGGTTCGAGCCCCACTTGGTGCACCACTTATGGTCGGTTATGGCTGGCTGAAGATGCCTAACAATCCAGAAGTTGTTCCAGCCTCCGTAGTCTTTGTCGGCAAAGCTCAGTAGCAAAACTGCTAGATATACTTTACCTTTCTCTTTTCTACCTGACTTTGTTCGAGATTTCGATGACTATGACGTGCCTATCCCAATAACTTAAGACTGTTTCCTGTTAGCTGGCCTGTCCGTCATTAGATTTTATAGTTTCATGGAAAGCAGATATTTGAGCACATGTTTGGAGAGGCTGACTCATTTTTCTTTGCGTGAGCTATTCAAATTGAGCCGCCATTTTTTTCTGCCCCCATTTCCATGTAAATTTTCTTAAATATATACGTTGGTTGGCCTACTTCGCCCATTATAAACCGACTTTTATCCATCTTTGTTTATTTGAAAGACAATGAGGACATAAGTGCGCGATGCTAGCACCAATTTAAAAGCAGTCCAATTTGGCCTATATTTGGCGAATTTTCCCACACTGTCGACAATTGCAGTCATTGACGACTAGGGATTGTTTTGGATTTCCCGGTGTTATGAATGGAGGACGTTTTTGCTGAAAATATTGGAATTATATTTTTAAAATAAAGCGTATCTCTCTCTTATATATTTTAACCTGCAACTACTCGTTCGAAAATGCTTTCACCGACTGCCATTACCGCTAGCTTTTATTGAAACCTTAAGTGGACAAAGGTTTGACACAAATGGAGGCAAGGGTTTTTTGTAAAAAAAGCACCTTTTCGCATATTTCACCTAGAGCAGCCGCCAGCACTTTGTAGGAGGAGGTCTTGGCACCGAAAGGCATTCCAGTTATCATGAAGCCGTGTCGAACAATCATCATTTCGTAGACCTGTTGGATCTTCGTAATGAAGAAGTCGGTATACTGGAGGTTCATCTTATCGCAGGCATTCTTTGCTGCGGCGTTAAGAATGGTGTAATCAGGCTCGGGTCGTCTGACTCCGGGAAACAGATCTGAAGCGATACCGTTGAACAGGGGCAAGTCATGATTCAAGAACTTTGGCAAGTTCACGTCGATGATGGATCTCAGCATCAGGACATCCTCGTTGTCATCGGGATAGGCAAGCTACATGGAAAAGAAGAGGATGTCAAAGCAGACAAAGAATCACTCGAAAGCGCAATAGTAAGTGTTCTCAGACGAGGCTTAATGCACCACTCTACCCCAGGGCTTCATGAAGCGCACAGCCCGCCACAGGGTCTGGAAGGGAAAGGTAAAACTCAACGTCACGAAACTGTACAGGGGCTTTAGAGAGGAGGAGGAGCCGAGTCCTAACTCGGGGATTCGGGCGGATCGATTGCTTCATATAC